TGATGCTGCTGCTGCTCTGACCAGACACTGATGCTGCTGCTGCTACTTCTTCCTGGGAGCTGCAACTAACTTTCATCGTTCATTCATCTGCTGCTCATCAAACTGCATGTTTAATCCAAGCAGCGATGAAAAACTCAATGATATCCAGCACTGTTCAAACCTTCCAGGCTCTTCAGATGTTTGGATTCTTCTCCATCAGCATCAGGAGGCGTCTGATGGTCCCAGATTCCTTCTGCAGCAGGACAACCGGCCCAGACATCCAGCCAGACTCAGAAAGAACCATCTGCAGCCACCAGAACAACAAGGAGTCCTGCAGCAGATGGTCTGAGCTCCAAGAGCCCTGATCTCAGCATCATGGAGTCAGTCTGGACCACATGAAGAGACACAACACACTGAGACACACTCGGTCCACACAAGCACTGTGGCAAGTTCTCCACGATGCTGGAAACAGCCCACCTGCCTCAGAACCAGGAGTCCAGAGAGTTTTTAAATATATGAAGATATAAAACAGCTCCAAATGTCCAGAAGTGCTTCTGTGGTTAAATTATCCTAAAAGCCTTTACAGTGGAGCAGATGGAGACGACCACACAACAGAATTATTACTGAACCAGAACCAAAAAGAGTCCTCACTAGTAAAGACCATTTCTACATGTCCACTTTGGTCAGAACTTTATCTCTGAACCACTCAGCTGCTGATGTTGTCGGGTCACGTTACACCTCTTCAGGTATGAACCTGTTGGGTTAAGAACAGGGTGAAGACGCTGTCGGATCAACCATCAGAGACAGAAGTGAAACGGTTCTGTGGTGATAAACTCTGAGATGTTCCTCGATAGTTTTAGTGTCTCAGCTGCTTCGTGACGCTCAGCGAACAAGAACAATTACAGAGACATCAGACTGACACACACACACTGACACACACACACACACTGTACGCACAGCAGAATGTGTATTTATCTTTTGTGTTATATTAATACTTTATGTATTTTTTCTTTCCAGACTTTTGTTTGGGAGCATTTGGAACTGAAAGCATTTGCCCCTAGCGCATGTCACAAGGTCCAGAAGCTCGAGGCTTTCATGGTTCATCGGTCCGGTTCAGGATCACATCGATGCACAAATTCTTCCAGAACCACGGAGTGAAACAAACGCCACCAACTCCTGCCGTCCTTAAAGACCCTCAAACTGTCAGTCTGCTGACTGAGCTCTGGAGGATCTTCACACGGTGACGACACTTCGAGGAGTCGGAAGAATTTTAATGATGCGTCATTGGCTGCTCAGCATCCGTTACCACGGCGACATGAAGTGCAGCACCATCACAGTCCTGAAAACTGTGACAGCTGAAGTTACCTGCTTCATGGTCAAGAGCTGTGGACGGATGGAGAACTGATCTGGTGTCAGTTTCTACCAGAACTCAGATGTGGTTTTCATTCTAAAAACAGAAAAATCCTCCATCTGCTGTTCTGATGAAGTTCTGACGCTCAGAAATGATCAAACAACTAAAAAGCAAAACGACTCCGATGCTGTTCCATGTTACTCACAAACGGTTTGAAATGATATGAAAGTTGCAGATATTGTTCAACCTTTCTGGAAAATGACTCTCATAAGGACACAAAGTGGTCCAGCATCACATAAAATGGACCAAAATGACTGAATAATTGTTTAAGTTGTAAAATTACTCTAAAAAAATGGTTTAAAATAATCCAAAAGTATTCTAAAGTTAATATAAAAATACCCAGAAGCACTCAATAACTGGTAGAACGACAGAAACCTTCCTAACGTCACCCAGAGTTGTTCCAAACGACCATCGCTGTACTGACGAAGTTCTGAGGCTCAGAAATGATGGAAAAAGTCCATTAAAGTGATCAATCTGGACCCTCCTCTGTGGACTTCAAGGACCTGGACCTCTGGAACATTCACAGTCTGAAGGTAGAACTCTGAACTCTGGCTGGTTTCACTCAGAGACGACATTCAGCCTGAAGCTCAGATCAGATGTCGGTTTATTGGCTCCTTTGTTCCGTCACATTTCTTTAGAGGAGACTTTATAAAAGCAGCATCATCACTTTATCCAATAACAAGATGTTTCTGGAGTCACAAACAAAACCAAGCTGTGAGACAGAACAGCTGATGGGACGATAATAATAATAACATGATGATGATAACATACGACTGAAGGGCTGAAACAAAGCAGACGTTAAGCAGCTCAGGGTTGTGGGATCAGAAGGCTTCACTGGTTCTGTGAGGAAAGCCTGACCTGACCCACAAAAGACCAAATATCACTGCAGTCACTCATCACTCAGACAGTTTGGGAACATTTCATAGGAAGAGTCTCAGAAAAAGCAGATTCATCTGCGGTCGGTGGTTCCGGACTTCCTCTTCCCGGCCAGCAGGTGTTTGGGTTTGAGGTCGAACACGTGTCGGTCGGACTCTCCCTTCCTGCCCTGGCGGTTCATGCCTTTCTGGGAGTTCTTCATCATCTTCTTCGCCTTCTTCGCCATCTGACAAACAAACAAAACAACCAGTAAGCCTCCAGCTTCATATCTGAGAGAACCAGACCAGTCTGTAACACGGGTTCTTCTGGTGCCAGACTGGTCAGAACATTTCGCAACGACCAACACTGTTGTCTGAACACAGGTCATCAGAAGTAGGGCCTGCATCCTGACAGCTTTATGGGCACCACTGAAGCAGCTGTGAGAAAAGGTAAAGCTGGGACAGACCTTTGGATCTCGGAGGCCTGACTGGTCTCGCGGTGGACGGGAGGCGCTCTGGCTGCGCGTTCTGGAGGTCGGCGGCGCTGAAGATTCGCGCTTCCGTTTGACAGCGACGCTGCGAGAGCGTCTGGCCTGCTGAGCGTAGTGGCTCTGAAATAAAGTTCACATGTTTAGGAACAGAGAAACAGGGCAGAACAACCTTTGCTACTGTCGCCACGTCGGCACCGGCTGCTTCATGTAGGTTCTAACCGATGTGATGCTTCCACATGAAACAGGATGAACCACTGACTCATGTCACGTGTCCTGCAGCTTCGGTTCAGAAGAACTTACGTCGTCCTTGTCGCTCATGTCCAGGCCGAGGTTCCCCATCTCCTTCTCCAGCTGCTTCCTTTCAACCTGAGCACAGGAAACAAACATCACGACAACGTTACAGAAGGCAGCGGTCCGTTTAACAAAAGAGCTGAAGCTCCGTGGGACTAACTCAGGTCTCCGCTGGAGGACTCCAGCGGAGGAAGACCGGACGTTTAACAAGGACTGCAGCAATAAAATAGTTCCAGTGGTGCAACGAAACCTGTCGCTGTTTCAACCAAGTTACACTGTTGAACCTGGTTATTGATTGTAATCAGAACAATCTCTGAACTCTAATCAAAGGTAGTTTAAAGCTAACACGAGTTAGCTCTAAGTTAGCATGAGTTAGCTCCATGAATACACGAGTTAGCTCTAAGAAAAAACCAGCTAGCTCTAAGAAAACACGAGTTAGCTCTAAGTTAGCATGAGTTAGCTCTAAGAAAACACGAGTTAGCTCTAAGTTAGCATGAGTTAGCTCTAAGAAAACACGAGTTAGCTCTAAGTTGGAATGAATTAGCTCCAAGTTAGCACGAGTTAGCTCGAAGAAAACCCAAGTTGCCTCTAAGAAAGTACAAGTTAGCTCTGAGTTAGCTAGTAAATTGGCTCTAAGCTAATGTGACTTCGCTCTAAGCGAACCCATGGCACTTTCAGGCTGAAACAAGTCAACTTTAGGCTAACACAGATTCGTGCTAAGCTACTGTGTATGTAATCAGACAGGTAGTGACCAAGTTGCTGGTCTGAACCACCACGCTGGCTCTCAGTCAGGTGAGCTCTTCACTATTTTCAGATGTTTTTAGACCAAACCAGTCACTCAGAAAGTAGCTGAAAGGTCAGTTGGATCACAAAAGAACATGATGGCTGATCTGTAACTTTCAGTGCAGTTTTTGAGCTGAATATCTGCCTCATGTTACTGCTCTCATCATCTCAGGAACCTCCTCTGGGTGATCCTGATGGACCTCAGCGCCCCTCACCTTGGTGGCCGTCCTGGGCATGCGAGGTCCGTGAACGTCCTTCTCCTTCGACTCCATCACCAGGAGCTGCTTCTTCTCGCGGATCTGTTTGGCCAGAACCCGGATCTCCTGCATCTCGTCGTCCTCGCTGTCGTCATCGGAGTCGTACTCGCCGGCGCGCTCCTTCAGCTCCTCCTCCTTCTCCAGCTCCTCCAGTTTCTGGGAGGAAACACAGAAGAAGCGATCATCTCTCCTCTTAGCTGCTCGAACACGTCTACAGATAGATTCTCTATCAGTCTTGAACAAGAGCGTGCACCGCTCAGAAGGTACGCTGTTGAATTATTGTTTTACTGAACCAGGACAGGCTGCAGCAGAGATTACAGACCTGATGTCTGCAGCAGCGCAGGAGCTCAAACCTTAAACGTACCCAGAAACCGTTAAAGTTCAACTGAAAGAACGTCACGACCGGCCAAGACCTGAAGTCCATCAGATGAATACGAACAAGACGAACCAAGGAGAGGACCAAGAGGTACGAAAGGTAGAGAAGCACTTCCTCGTTCTACTGACGTTAAAAAGACACCAACAAACATGAGTTAGCTCTCAGCTAACCTAACGTAGCTCTAAACTAACACACTAAAGTTTTAGGCTAACCTAACTTAGCTCTAAGCTAACATGAGCTAATCGTTCAGACTTTAACCAGCCTACGCTAGCTTGAGTAGTGCTAAACCAGGGCAGGTCTGAACCACCACGTCTCAGTCTGCTGTGTGGTTCATTTTACACCAGTTCAGATGTTTCAGACCAAACCAGTCGTTGTGGAAACACTTTGGTGGTTAGCAGCCTGAGCTCTGCTCGATTCATCAGCTTGAATAAAGTTTCGCTGAGCTGACGATGTGCTGAACAGTTGGTGCTCTTTGCAGAGCTGCTCACATCCAGACGGTTGGCAGCGTTTCTCAGACCGTCGGCCTCGTCCTGCTGAAGCTTCAGGAAACAAAGAAAACCTCTGGAGACACCAGACGTGGTCAAGAAAGGTCTGGGTTCGGTTCTGGTTTGACTGTGCCGCTGAGCTCCACTGACCTTCATGATGTCGGGGTCGATGTAGTCTGCGATGTTGTGTCCCTCCCACACCTCGGGGATCTTATCGTGCTTCTCGTCGTCATTCATCAGGTCCCAGTATTCTGAAAACAAACAGTGTGAGCACCGCAGGCTGAACCTTCTGTCTACAACTGCAATGGAACCACTTCTCACTCTGTAGGTCCAGAACGTAGTCGTCCCCGAGCTCCACCTCCAGATCTCTCTCCTGCAGAAACAGGAAACAAACACTTTCACTGGAGAAAACAGCATCAGAAAGTTCAAAGTTCATGTGTTGGTTCTGTTGTCTTTAAACCTCATACAGCCTGAGTAAATATACTCTGATTACTGCTCCACGGCCGGTCCATCAGTGTGACGTGCGACCTACCAGTTTGCGTTTGGGGGCGTCCACCTCCATGGCTCTCTTGCGCACCAGGGCTCCCTCTGGGATGAACGGAGGCCTCTCCTGCTCAACATGACAACAAGACTTGATGAGCATCAGGAAGCAGCAGAGACTAAAGAAGAGCAGGAACCTGCTGAGCTCCGATTGGCTGCTCTACCTTCTCGTCCCTCTTGGCCGGCATGGCCAGGTGCAGCCGGTTCAGGACGTCGTGGACCTTCTTGCCCTTCATCTTGGTGTTGACGCGATGAGCGAGCAGCTGGTCGCAGGCCTGCAAACAGACACAGCCTTATCAGACGTGGACATTCAGCACGAACCGAGCAGCGATTTACTAAAGTGGGACCAGAGGAACCAAAACAACAACAAGTCTACGTTTGCTCACTGTGTCTCTGTGGCTGATGGTAACTATGCACCCGCCAGCCGAAGAAGAAATCGTCTGAAATGACTAGAAAGGTTCAGAAAGACTTCAAAGTCCTTCAGAACGTTCAAAATGTTTCCAGAATGACTCAAAAAAGTCTAAAAGGACACAAAACTCCCCAAATGACAGAAGATGTGCAGAGTGCAGGACAGAGCGCTGCACAAACAGCTTAGTTCCAGTTATTCTGCTTATAGCTCTATTCATCTTTGTGACTTTTAGATCTAATGTTTTGTTCTTGTCCTGGTTTTCATCCCAGAGATGATTTTATTTCCTTCAGTTTTGTTGTTTTTTTGAACTTATCCTGATCTTATTTATTCTTCCTTATCTTTTGACTTCCTGGCTGTCACATGGACAAACGGTGGACGACTGCCTCTTGTCTTTTCGTCGATGTGTATTGTGTTTAAAGACCAAACGCTATCATTTGGATTTTTTCTGCAACACAATCTACCCACGGGTATTAATAGAGTGACCTTGTCCATGTTCACTCACTTATTAAAAATGACCAAAATGACTTCAACTTGTTTCAAATTGACTCAAAAATGTCCCAAAAGACTTTAAATTTGCCCAAAATGACTAAAAGTTCTCCAGAATTGCTGAAAAATGGTCCAAAACCAGGAAAAGGAATCCAGAAAGTGACACAAAAACAGTCTGAACGGCCAGAAACTGTCCAGGAGGACGTTTATCCCAATCTGGCCCGAAATATTCACACCTGGTGTTGGTTCAGAGCAGCAGGTGTCACCCAGGTGTGACCCAGGTGTGACTCACCTCCGTTTTGACCTGCATGACTCCCTCCTCCGTCAGGGTGCTCGTCTCGATGACCTGGACTCCCTCAGCACAAAGATCTGCAAAGATTTTCTGACAACAGACTCACAACAGTCAGAAGTGGAGTTCAGGCGAACCGGAACACGACTTCAGGTGAAACTCGACGTCTCTTCTTCAGGACAGAAGCTGAAGGCTCACCTGGTTCTCCTCCGGCAGCTCGCTGAGCTTCTTCACGTCACATTTGTTCGCCACGATGATGAGCGGCTGCAGAAACAACACATGGGCTTTAGTGGCACTCTGGAGCCTCCTCAGCTGATGTTTTATTCTGTCTTTATTTACACACACGCCTTCTCAGAACAAATCACAGCTACACTGACTGTAATAAGTCTCGTTAACAGCAGCATATCTCTTAATCACATCATCTTTTATCATTTGTTTAAAGCTCCCTGTGATGTTCTCCGTTCAGCTTCCTGTGACCGAGGCTCTGGACCGGCAGACGGACGGAGATCCTTGTCAGCATGTGGGACAGTTTCCCTTTAAAGCATCAGAGACAAACAAGTGAAAACTGGCTCGTGCTGCAGCGTCCTGTCTACGCCCATCAGCTGCTCGTTGGTCAGCGTTAACTTCCTCCCGGTGCACTTCAACACAGACAGACTCAAATGACATGAACCTGATTCCTGCTGCTGTGTTTAAACTACGTCAGTAAAAACGATCAATAAATGTCGATATCGACTGAGTCACACGTTGATGGCAGCAGTTTCTTGAGCTGCTCCGCCCTGTTAGCGCCGCGGTCACACGTGTTCGAGTAAAAACAAATAAATGTGCACAAAAGCAGACGAGCCCGGACACCGAGGAGTTCCCTCCAGACGCGGGTTCTTTCTATGTCTGCACATCTTTAAAATGCATAAAGCAGCAAACAGAGTGAGAGAGGAGGAAGCAAACAGAAGAACACTGAGGGTTTGGAGTTAGTCCACAGAAACACGTCCAGAACAACTCAAAGTTCTTCCACAGTGACTCCACCTGCCCAGAACTACTCAGACTGTCCACAATGAACCAAACAGACCAAAATCACTTCATGTTTGTACGAACAGCAGCTTCGAACACCGAGAGGAAGGAAAAGCCCAAAAAACAGGATGCGTTTCTTTAACCGAGTTCATCCCGACAGCGAAACAGAATAATTCATCTATGGCTCCGTGTTATGGTCAGAAAGTCCGAGAAAAGCGGCCGTCGTCACGTCCAAGTCGTTGGATTAGAAACCAGAATGACACCATTCATCAGCCAGAAACCAGAAAAGCACAACCAATCGGATTCTCAGCTTTCTGACGGTTCTTGAACTAACCGCGTGACGTTCAGATCCACTGTGAGAAAAAGGCAATCATCATTTCGTTATATAAGCGTTGTATAACTGATACCTGGTTGAAATCACTTGGTTCTGCACAAACAAAATCCCCTGAAACAGCGCCGCCTACTGGGCCGCAAAAAAAACGTTCAATCCTGCACCTGTGGGCTGTTAAACTGGAAGTGGACTTGATTTAGTTATTGGATTCCAATCAAGCCACGACTCGGATCAATGGAAATGAAAGTGTTCATACTAAACGGGCCCGGGCCACTTTGTCCTGGGACATTGGGCCTATGGGTCAAGAAGGTTGAGAAGCCCTGCCCTGAAACAAACCGTTTGCTCGAACTCGACCCTGTCAGAAGTAAAAGTTCTGAGCTGCTCGGCTGCGACCAGCAGGCGGCGCCACAGCAGAGAGGAGACAAGTGAAGATACACATGAACACGGAACCAGTTAAAGGTCTGCAGCATCTGGACCTCCACCACGGTCCAGCGTCTAACACCTGAGGAACCTCAGACACACGTTGGTTCCAGGTTTCTACATTTTTGTGCCATAAATAGTCAAAGATCTTCTGCTTTTTCTGACAGAAGCCATGAAGACTTGATGTGGAGCGACTCGAGGCTGTGACACGGTCGCCACATTGACTCGTGTGCAGGTCTCAGAGACTCGGCGTTCAGCTCTGACTGACCTTGTTGGCGAACAGCGGCCGGATGTTGTTGAAGAGCTCCAGCTGCTCCTGCAGAGTGTGACCACACTGCTCCGAGGCGTCCATGACGTACAGAACCGCCGCCCGCAGGTGGGCCAGCGCCGTGATGGCCTGCATCTCGATGGTGTTCCTGTCCTCCAGAGGATGGTCCAGGATCCCAGGAGTGTCCACCACCTGCACACATCCAGCCGACAGGTGAGCCAGCAGACACTCGACTCTCACGCTGGAACACGGCAGCTTCCTGTCTACCAGAACCCAGATGTGTTCTTCCTCCTGAATGTCATGTGACTGTCTGCTGTTCTGATGAAGTTCTGAGGCTCAGAACTGATGGAAGAAGTCCATTACAGTGATAAACCTGGACCGGGAGTGTTTTCAGGTGGACTGATGGTCTCATTGATGTGCTTCTAGTCAGAGACATCAAGTTCAATCAGGCTAAATATTAACGTGCATCAGTTGTTTTTAAGCTTCACACAAACATCAAGAACAGAGAAGCTGATTGCAATTAAAACAAACAAACAACATAAACGATGGACGCTGCAGCGTCCGCGTGTCGCTGTGTCAACGTGCAGGACGTTTACCTGATGAGCACATCTCACCTGCCAGCGCAGATACCTGTAGTCCATGTGGCCCACAAACAGAGACTTGGTGGTGAAGGCGTACGGCTGCACGTCCACGTCGGCCCGGGTCACCTGACAGGAAGAGAGGTTCCACCAGGTGAGATCGGGTCAACACGAGTCACCATCGCAAGGCTGAGATTCAAACTGCCAATAAAAGCTTCAGGCTCCGTCAGAACCTTGTGTTCCTCCTGGTGTCGCCCAGACAGGTTCAGTCCACATGAATCAATCAAATCAGAACCAGCTGCTCCTGTACCTGCAGAACCTTCATCTACTGATTGTTCTACCTTCAGACTGTGAATCTTCCAGAGCTGCAGGTCCTTGGAGTCCACAGAGACACCGATTAACGCAGATGAAGGTAATCTGGTGAGGACAGCTACTGAACAGCTTCAATCATCTACTGGGAGGACTGGGAGGAATGACCAGCGACGGGAGCCGATCATATCTACAGTACGACAACAGACTGGACAGACTGGGTCTGAACCAGGAGCAGCACCAGGTCCTGCCGGGTCAACGGCTGTTTGATCAGCTGCTTCTCAACACACTGACTTCAATCCTCATGTTGTCTTTTCTAAAACCTCCTGCAGGAGAAAGCCCTGATCATCTCTGACATCTCCACCAGATTCCTGCTCCACAGCTGGTTCTGGTGGACGAAGTGCTGCTTACCTTGTTGATGAAGCTGGACTTGCCCACGTTGGGGTAACCGCACAGCAGCAGCGTCCTGGTGTTGGGGTCGATGCTCGGCAGACGGGACAGATGCTGGCGGACTGTGGGAGGGAGGCCAGTCAGGTCAACACACCGACACAGGAGACGGACTGAGGCACCAAAACCAGACTCACCCTGCTCCAGGTACTCCAGACTGGACTTCTGCCGCTTCAGGATGGTGCACATCCGACCCAGAGCGGCTCGCTTCAGCTGCTTACAGCGATACAGAGAATCGCCATACTTCATCAGGCGCACGTAGTCTTTGGCAACGCTGCAGGAAAACAGAGGACAGGTTCACTCAAGCTGGTGCTGCTGAAGGACGCTGCTGCTTCCTCAGCATCTACCAGAACCACCAACTGAAGCAGCAGCAACAATGGTGGACTCCAATCTTCTAACGGTTCTTGTGAGAAGTTCTGTCAGAAAAACTGAACATAACCTAACATGGAACTGTGATAGTCCTTTATCCGACATGTCTTATTTTAAAAATGTAAACCTTTGCTTTCACCACATTCTGTAGAAAAGTCAAAGTCCTGCACTCCTGGACCACGATGAAGACCATCAGCTGTGAGCTTCAGATTCCACTTGTTTACAATATTTATAACATCAATAATCCTGCTGTTGTTTTCTTTTGTCTGGGTTTGTGTCGTTCTGTGTAGATAATTAATGCAGCACGGATCAGAACCAGAGAACAGAGGAGCACGCTGTTGGAGATGCATCCAGCATGGTGGAACATCTT